CTGCTGTGTTGGAAAGAACATGGACTTTGAAGTCATGTGGTTTTGGATCTAAAGTCTGTCACCTGGAGTGTGTGGGATGCTTGAGAATGGCACTTCTCAGATTTAGTTTCCTTATGTGTAAAATGAAGATTAAGATCTATACTTTACGAAGTTGTTTCAGGATTAAATGAAGTAATAAGATGTGAAATGTGCTAGCACAGTCATACAGAGTAGATTAATCCTAAAAATGTTAGCTGATTCAATCCCTATTTCTTCTACGAACATTTAGCCAGACCCTACAAACGTCTCAATATCTTTTTCCAAGTCCTCTTTTTCATATCTTTCTCTACTGAATAAATTGGGCTTATTTTAAGACTTGATTAGCAATTCTCTTGTTCTTTCCGACACCAAGTAAGTGGTGTGTTTTCCAATACCGGTTATCTGATTCTCTGATGCCATCTGGGTGTCCAAAATTCAATTCAATTCTGACACTAACAGCCTGGAGTTAGTGCAGATCCCACAGGTTAAAAGGCTCAGTGTCCCACAAAACTGCTTCCACTTCAGATACCAGTCACAATTCTCAGTTGCCATCCATACTGGTAACCAACCAGCTATAACTTCAGGAGTTCCTATGACCTCCTTCCCTATCAAGTTTTAAAATTTGCTAAAACAACTCATAGAACTCAGGAAAACACGTTCCTTAAGTTTACAGTTTCTTGTAAAGGATACAACTCAAAAACAGCCAAATGAAAGAGATGCGTAGGGCAAGTTATGGGGAGGGGATGGGGGGCAGTGCGGAGATTCCATGCCCTCTCCAAGTGCGCCACCCTCCCAGAACTGAAATATATTCCCCGACCTGGCAGCTCCCAAACCTCATCATTGAGGTGTTTTTGGAGGTTTTCATTACATAGGCATAATTGATTAAATCATTGGCCATTGGTGCTTGACCTCAATCTCTAATCTCCAGCATCTCTCCCCTCCCTGGAGGTCAGGGGGTGGGACTGAGAGTTCCAATCTTCTAATTATGGCTTGGTCTTTCTGGAGACCAGCTCACATCCTGCAGCTATCTGGGGGCCAGCCAAGATTCACCTCATTACCATAAATGCAAGTGTGGTTGAAAGGGGCTTGGTATACATAATAAAAGGTGCTCCTATCACTCAGGAAATTCCAAGAGTCTTAGGAGATCTGTGCCGGGAATCAAGAACAAAGATCAATATATATTTGCCATTATACTACAGCAATTAATCAGTTATTGCCTTATAAGAATGCATATATTGCTTGTTCATATTAAATTGTGCTTACTTACATTTTTCAAGATATTGTCTTTATACTGAGATTGTAAATTGCATGTTAACAGGAGCCATTTTTTATTCATTTTTGTTTAATCTGCTAATATATCATCTTGTACCCAGTATTATCTAAGAACTCTCTAAGTATTTATGAGATTGATTGATACAAATAAAATAGGGATCTTTTGGGCCTACATCCATATAGTAACATAATACTTGGAGAAATCACATGGTAAAGTCTAAATGGCTAACATTTTGAAGGTAAATTAGCCTGAGTTCAGATATGTTTAGTGTTTTCCAGTGGCCATAAACAGGTTACACACATTCATCTCTTTGAATTTCAGTTTCCTTATCACTAAGGTGGATATAATTACAAGACCGTGAAAAGAGTTGAGGGAAAGATAAACACACACACGACAGAGAGCAAGAGAGATTGTCATACACTAAATGTAGCAGTTTCACTATTTTTGTTGTACCGTGGAAGAATCTAAGTCACTAACTTAACACTTCAGCTCCTGGGTTTTCTCATCCAAGTATTGGATTTTTTTATTATTAAGAGCACAGTTTTCCTAGATCTCTTTAAACAAAGAACAGCAAAGAGCAGACAGCTGTTTTATTGGACAGGCATTAAATGATTTGAGAAGAAATGACCCTAATGTGTACATGTTTAGGAGTCTCCCCTCTAAGGGTTAAATAATTAGGGTCTTATTTACACTGAAGTTCTCCAAACAGGTGAGCATTCTCCTCTTTTAACTATAAGTAAACTGAAGATAGCTCTGTGCATATTCAATGTCCGTAGTCTCATACTCCCTTAAAGACTTAAAAATGGGCTATATTAATATTCAGTAATATTGAAGGGTTTTTCTTATTTATTTAAACATCTTTCATTATTTTTTAAATAAAAAGTATTGCTTTAACTTACAGTTCTGGTGCTCCTCAGTATCTGGCAATTGTTTTTAAGTAATAGAGGCAAAATTTTATTCATGCACAATGTTAAAAGAACTCATGAACTTGTCTCTGATCCCCTTATTAAGAAATATACGCTAATACACATTTCCCTGTAATCTGGTATTTTCATGGACTACTCTTTCCAAGTAAGTTAGACAGTTGCTTATGGATTTAAACATTAGAACCATCCCGCCTTCAGAACACTTGCCAGACATCTAGAACCAGTAGGTACAATGACAGAAAATGCTAAAATCCTAATTAATTTTGAGCACTTTTTACTTAATAACTTAATTCTAACTGAATCCAAGGTAACTATATTAATATGAGACAAAATAGAATTTTGAATAAGAAAACATTAATAGAGATAAAGGAGGTTATTTCATAATGATGAAAGCTTCAATTTATCAATAACGTAAAGCAGTTTTAAATTTGTGTGTACTTAACAGCATAGCCTCAAAATCTGTACAGCAAAAAGGAGACAGAACTACAAGAAGAAATTTTTTAAAAACTACTGCCCTTTTAGAAGAGCTTAACACACTCTTCTAAATTAATCCAATTAGAATAAGTAGTCAAAAACCCCAACAACCAGATAGATAATTTGGATAACTCAGTTATCAGACTTCACCCAGTAGATCCACATCGCTTCCCCAAACTGCAGACTATTCCTTCTTTGAAAGCACACACAGGACAAAAATTAATCGTATATTGGGTCATAAAACAAGTTTCAACAAATTTCAGAGGATTGAAAACATGTGGCCTATTTTCTCTGACCATGATTTAGTTAAGCGAAAAATCAAAACAAAGAGATAATAAAACATAACCCGTATGTTTGGAAACGAAGAAACACTTGCCTATAGGTATCCCTACTGTGTGCCTAACAGGTACACAAATTCCACACGTCCAGGCTACCCAAACCGCCCTCCTGCTCTGCCCCATCTTTGTCACCGACACAATGTCCACCTCGATGTCTAAGGCATCGTTTCCGGTCCCACTGACCATGCCTTAGTTCAGGCCATCACCAGTGATGTCATTTTCTCTGTAACTAGACTCTTCTCTTTCAGGTTCATGATTCTCCTACCTGCCACAATATTCTTTCTAAAAGTTTGGTTTAATCACATAAAGTCTTCATTTAAAAAGTTTTAAAAGGCCTCAATACCAACAGGATAAAATCCAAACTCCATGACATGACATTCAAAGATCCTTGCATAGAGTCTCTGCCTTTGTTTCCATCTTTATTTCCTCCCAAGCTCTGGTGCACCTTTGTGTGCCAGCTTTGCTCTCTGAACACCCCTTCTGTCTATCTCCTCCTTGCCATCTCTTCCTTACCTTTGCACGTAGGAATCTCCCTACCTGGAACGTCCTCTCTCATTGCATACCCACCTGACCATTTCCTGTGTATCCTGGAAGACACAGCTCAAGCATCACCTTCCTTGAGATGCCTTGCCTGGTTAATCCTCATAGTGTTATTCACTTCTTTACTTTCTACCCTAGAATTATTGTGTGTGTTTTTTACTTCAGTTTTGTAAATTAGCTATTTAAATATCTACGTATGGTATTAGACCATAAACTACATGCATGCAGGAATTTTTTTCTCAGCTTTTTAAATTCTTCGCACTTATATAGGCAGGGCTCAAAAAATTGAATTCCTGAATAAAATTAGAATTAGTAGGATAGTTTAAACGTGTTTACTGAAAGAAGCAAGAAGGTCAGTCAACAGATTGGCAGTGAGCAGGGAGAGCAATGGTATGAAAAGGAGATGGAAGAACACGTAACGAATATCAGACAGCACATTTGGAGTCATCGTCCTAAAACCTTTTAGCGTCTTGAAGGAAGGAGTGAAAGGTAGAGTTGTACAGTTTTTATCTGCACAACTCAAGAGGGTGCCATACACGCCTAGTCAAGGATGCGATTGTGTCGTGGAGTGCAATCCTGAGTGGTCACATACGGTTTCCTTGATCAAATGAATCACATCCTTAGGACACAGGAAATAATTGTTATTTATTGCAACCATTGGGAGTCATTAAGAAAAAGATTACATTTTGCCTACTCTAAATAGTGAGAGAAGCATGTAACACCTTTCGGAAATCTTCCCATCAAAAACACATAGGTTAGATACCTAATGTAGCAAGTTTTAATTATATGGAACAAAACCACAATTAAGCCAGATAATATGAGCCATTGTAGTGGGTTGCAAACCATATCCACCTGTGGCATAATTTACAAAGTTTGCTTAAGGTTTACACTTGAATATTATGATTTGCAGTCAAATAAATTCAGACCAAATAATTTAGACAATAAATTTATATACTTGTGTTACCCAGTTTATTAAATAATAGGTACCCAGAAGCCCCAGGACTGAGCCTCACATGGGAATAATTAGAATTCACTGACTTGAACTGATGGCTTTATCTGCTTCAAAGTCTCATGCTAGTTTGCAGACTCTCATTTCATACCCAGAACACCATTTGGTTGCCGACAGTATAAACCAAACACAGTCATGACAATTTTTTCTGGCAAGCAGCTAGAAAGAAAAATAATAAACTCTGCAAATTTCACCTGCAAATGCTTTTTTAAAGCAATGAGTCTTGTTCACTGCCTACATTCGGGAAATCACGTTTCCCTGCCCAAGCTGAAATTCCTGGGCCTGAATATGTTCTCCACCCACTTCCTATACCCCTTCCCTGTCAACTGGATGTGTTCTTCAAAGCAACTTTTCACATAAGGATAGCCACTGGCTTGTTGTAAACCACCTATTTTATCTGTTTTAATGTCTCTTTTCTACAGATCCTCCTGCCGTGGAACCAGCGTTCCTGGAAATCCGGCAGGGACAAGACCGAAGTGTCACGATGAGCTGTCGGGTCCTGAGAGCCTATCCGATACGGGTGCTGACCTATGAGTGGCGCTTGGGCAACAGATTATTACGGACGGGCCAGTTCGACTCTCAGGAGTACACAGAATACCCGGTGAAGAGTCTTTCCAACGAAAACTATGGGGTTTATAATTGTAGCATCATCAATGAAGCTGGAGCTGGGAGATGCAGCTTTCTTGTTACAGGTAAGATTCCAAATATTTCGCATTATATGTATTTTTTAGATAAGGAATCATAGGCTTACGTCAACATATGAAAGCATTTTGCAAATCCGTGGCGCGAACTATGAGCCGGTTGAGGCCTCTAGTTAGAGCTTCTACTCCTTTATTTTCAGGGCAAGTCTGTTTTAGTAGTTAACATAGTTTATTATGTCAATATAAGGATATTAGTTGTGCCACAAGATAGTTTATGTGCCTATAAAACTAGACAGAAGTTTATGTGAATTCAAGTAGATTTGGTGATGAGGTTGTTTATTTTGAGTGTTTCAGTAATAAAGTGACAAATCTTAACTAGCTTTCTTTAGATCAAATTGCAAATATTAATACATACTTTCTTCTGCAAGTCTAAAATCCCTTGTGAACCAATGCTTGCTTTGGTTTTCTTAATAGCAGAAAGGGTGCTTTCTTTTTTTTCCTTATTTATTTATTTATTACCTCTTAATGTATGGGGAATCTCCATTTTGTCCTTGGCTTACCATAGGTTCACAGATACTCAAAGGGTAAGCAATAAAGTCGTATCTGGCATATAATGAATTAGAGAGAAGTGTCAATACTTTTTGAGGTCATTATCTCTTAATGTATTAAAAGAAATATTAAGTCTGTATTAACTCTTAGGTACTTATTTAAATTATTTTTATAATCTATATACTAAAGTAAATCTGTGTTATTTTTGAGCTAGGGTTAGGCACACATTAAAAGGATATATTATTTATTATTATTATTATTTTGTTCTAGGTAAAGTTAGTTGTAATAGAGTGTTTATACTAGTAAAACAAGAAATTGGACATTGTATATTATCTGAAAAGCAATCCTATAAATTATAATTAAAATGTTTCAGACAATTAAAACTTGTTCATTGGTAATATAATTCTTATTAACCAGTTCTTACTCATCAGAGAACTCTTGAAATATGAATTGCCTTGAGATGTTTTTGCTTTCTGAAATATAATATTAAATAGGTAAAATATAATTGAGTAACCAAGATGCCCTCTCTTCTGGATCTTGCCACCTCTTGGTTTCACATCCCTCTTATTAGCATTCAGTTGAACTTAAAACTTTTCTACTTTGATTCTTCTAAGTAGAAAATCAAAAGTCCCTAGGACAATACTACTTACATGGCGATCTAACTGCTAATTTTTGTCCTTGGAAATATTTACAAGAGAAAGAGAATGTAGTCTATTACTTTACAGGGTAATTTAAATGGCATGATGTACTTTCATTCCTTGTTTATATATTATTTTCCCAAACTAAGAAGAATCCTTCAAAGGCAATTGTTTTTCACATATCGGTACAAATAGAGCACCTTACTTGCTTTCATGAACCCCCCAAAACAAAAATACTCCATAAAATTACATCTCTTTCTTCAACCTTTTTGGCCTTATACACATTCTAATTTTCTTTGGTGACACTGTTTTCTAACTTCAAGCTAGTTTAGACTGTGCTGCCTCTGCAAGATTTTCATTTGCTCTCTATTATGTGATCCAAATCCTATTTTTTGAACTAGAAGACAAGCTGAGACCTGAAGAAACACTAGCTCTATTTTCCCATTCCAGATCCATGGGGTGCAATGAGTAGATTTCGATAGCTGCAGAAAGGAATAAACCTGTTATGGATTGCCCCATAGAGGGAGAGGAAATAGTCCCAAGCATTAATTTGTTCCCAGTGTGCGCTTTTCAATCTTCTGGTCAACCTCATTGTTTCAAGATCTCCACATACACTTTAATACAGTTTTGAAGAAGAGAAAAGGAAATGACTGAATTCCAAATACAGTATAATCCAGGAAAATATATAAAGAAATGAGTAAAACTCCAAGTAACTATGATTTAAACAGGATGGAAAATTATTTCACACAAGTTAAGGCCTTGAAGTATCATTTCAGAAACTAACATAATGGCTCTGTTCCACAAAGTCCTCGGGGATTCAGGCTTCTTCCATCTTACTGCTCAACCATCATCAATAGATGGCGCATCTCATAGCCCTAATGGCTACCTAAATTCCTGACATTACTTCTACATTTCAGCATATTCCCTCTTTTTAAGGATACTTCTCAATAGTTTTAGATACTCTTTCTACTTGCATCTCATTGGAGATAACTTAATCATATTGCTGTACCTGCAATAAAGGCTATGGGTATAGATTTTATTCTAGAAAGATTAAATCACACTTTCTCACATATATTTTAAATTGCCTTTATTGAAAATATTGCAATGAAATTAAATTGAGATTGTCAAGGAAAATCTAGGATCTCTGGTTTTATCTCTGTAATACTTAATACCATTACTGACAGTCAGAACCACTTTTCAGGGTCTTAGAGTAATTAAAAAAGACAAGAATAGGTTTAATCATAGACTCAAGAGATTTTGTTGATAAGCAACAGATTTGAGGGTACTATGTTAGTTATTTATTACTGTATAGTCAGTTACTACAAACTTAGCATCTTAAAACAGCACACTTATTATCTCACAATTTCTGTGTCAGGAGTCCAGGCTTAGCTAGAATCTCTGTTCTGAGTCTCACAAGGCTGCAATCAAAGTGTTGGCTGGGATGTTCTTATCTGGGCACTCAACGTCGGATAAGAAGTTGAATCACTTTCAAGCTTTTTCAGGTTATTGAAGGAATTAAATTCCTTATGGTTATATGACAAAGGGCCCTAGAATTTTGTTGTTTGTTGACTGAAGGCCACTTCTATGTCCTGGAAGATGTCTGCAGGTCCTAGAGATCACCTGTAATTCCTTGTCATGTGGGCCTATTCCAACATGGCTGCTTACTTCATCAAGCCGACAAGTAGGATCTCTAACTCTAGTCTACTAAGGTGGAATCTTATACAACATAATTCCTGAAGTAGCATTCCATCACAGTTTCCTCTCACCCTCAATGGGGGAGAATTACACACAAAGACACAAAAACTGTAGGTAGGAATCACTGGGAGTCATCTTTGGGTCTGTCTGCCACAAGTAACAGCATATCCTGCCACTAGAAGTACTTTTAAAATACAGCCTACATATGAAGGAAACTACTTTATCTATGGCAATATTTAAAGAAATTCTTCATAGTTTAATCCCTTTCAATAAACATGGCAAATAGGGTTTTACCAAGCAAAAATTTTCCTATGACTGTTACTTTCACCTTTAGTTTGGAAAAATTTGTGCTAGGATTGTGCATCCTGTACTTTCCTTTTGGTATACTACAATATTCAGATTGACACATTGGAACTCCTATTTTCTCCATGTTCAGCACCAGCAGATCAGACACATAAGCAAATTAGACAGATCCTAGAGACGAAATAAGGCAAGAGTGAGACATTTTTTATGAAAGGGAGTATATGTTATCACCCAGTGAATATAAAGAAATTCAGAAAGACTGAGAGCTGTAATATTGCCTCAGACAGGTTGTTGGAGGACTCTAGCATTGCTTAGTCCTGAGGAACAGAGAGGAAAAATAACAACCAAATCAGATTTGACTCCAAATCAGAATGTTTTCTAATGTCAGATTGAATTGTATGATGACCAGATAGAAAATGTATTTTATTCTTTGGCAATGCATATGTTTGTGCTGTTCAGCTAGATACTTGTTACTTATGAACGTCTAAAAATCAATTACATAAGATTGTAGAAAAATCATTAACAACTCTCGGAAGTAAGAGTAAATGAACTGATTGAAAAATAATATCTAGTAAAATTCCCTGTGCTAACTCTAAAAGACAAGAAACTTCGATGTCAAATCAAATATTTTTCTGGGCCAGAATTCTATGAAATTTATTAGAATTTTATTTGTGATGATAACAGGTAGACCAGTGGATCCCAGTGTTTCAGCCAGCTTATGAATTGCAGTAGTATTAAAAAAAATAGAGAGCAGAAAATGCATAATACGTCCTAACAACTCTTAATGTATAGCATTCCATGGTGTACAAAGTGATTGAACTTCCATTCTTTTCATCTCAAACAATCCTGCTGTGTGTGTACAAGAGGTGGTATCACCTTCCTTTGACAAATAAGCTAACAGAGGCTCAAGAAGCCAAAAATAAAATGTGTGTCTTCTGATTGTAAATTCAAGCTCTTTTTGACAAACTTCAGTGAGGTTTTGTTAGTGGTGCTAAAGGAAATTTTGGATAATTAAGCTAGATAAAATGTAAGTGAGTCCATGCTGAACCTGAGAAAGTAGAAATAAAAATGTAAATATTAATTAAGGAAGTTAATACTATCACTTAGCAAAAATTTTACCAAAATATTTACTTTAATATTGGATCTAATTTATACAATATTTTAGATAAATTTTATTTTTCTCTAGTAAACATTTCATGAGTAATCCGTATTTTATATTGTACTTAAAGCAAAACTTCTATTAAAATTTTCATTGTAGGGGCCGGCCCCGTGGCTTAGCGGTTAAGTGCGCGCACTCCGCTACTGGCAGCCCGGGTTCGGATCCCGCGCGTGCACCGACGCACCGCTTCTCTGGCCATGCTGAGGCCGCGACCCACATACAGCAACTAGAAGGATGTGCAACTATGACATACAACTATCTACTGGGGCTTTGAGGAGAAAAAGGAGGAGGATTGGCAATAGATGTTAGCTCAGAGCTGATCTTCCTCAGCAAAAAGAGGAGGATTAGCGTGGATGTTAGCTCGGGGCTGATCTTCCTCACCAAAAAAAAAAAAAAAATATTTTCATTCTAGTCACAGAAGTTTGATGACTTCTTAATTCTCTGCATTACTCATTTTCTTCGTTATAAAATCATGTAATTCCTCCAATGAAAGATTCCGAGCAGTGTGGCTATCAAAAGTCTATTCGTGGACTCTTAAAAATAAAGCATTGCAACGTAAAAGTTCAATTTAAAGTAGATTTCAAGCACTTATATTTCATTAACTACAGACAGTTTAAAATGTATACAAACTAAGAAAATCATGGTTTTTATATGATATACTAATTTCTGAATAACACACTGTGGGCTCTAGTACAAGAGAGAACAAG